ATTCATCATGTAGCAAATCTTAGTGAATATCTTCAATTACTTCCTTAGGACAAATTCCAGGAATAGAATTGTTGGATCAAAGGTTACATATTCTCTTAAGGCTCTTAAAACATATTACCAGTTACATTGTATTACAAATTGCACATTTCCCAAAGGTGGTGTCAGTTTTTACCTCCACAAGCGTGTAGGAGGGTGCTCTGTGGCAGACTGTATTTTTTTAAGCTGGCTTTGACAACCTCTCCCATCTCACATAGTTTTCCAGAACTTGTCACTGCCCTATCAGAAGGTGGAGTCTAGGACTCCTCCCCTCGAACCTGGGCAGGACTTTGTATCTGCAACCCGGATGAGATTTTATATCTGTCTCAACCAACAAAGTATAGCAAAAATAATGCTGACTTCTGAGGGCTCTTATGTGAAAATGCCATGCACTTCTGCCTTGTCCTCTTTGGATACTTGCTCTCAGAGCACAGCCACCAGGCTGTGAGGAAGTCCAGGCAGCCCGTGGAGAGGCCTATGAAGAGAACTGAAGCTCCCTGCCCACAGCACAAGCTTGACAGACGAATTGCATCCAGATATACTGCACAGAGCAGAGATGAGCCGTTTTCCCCTGAACTCTGCTCAAATTGAAGATTTGTGAGCAAAATAAATGACTGTTGTTGTTTCAAACCGCTAAGCTTTGGGGTGGCTTGTTATGCAGCAATAGATAACTGATACACATCCTTTTCCCTCCCTCTAGCTAACACTGGGCATTATCCTTTTTTTCTTTCATTTTGCCAATAGGATAAAAAAGAGTGACATCTCTCATTTGGTCTTCATACTTTGGCCCATTATTTTCAACAGGGCATTAATGTTTTTCCTATTTACAACAGAACTTTAAAATCCTTTAATCCTGTTTATTTTCCTTGTTGTTCTTTCTTTTCAAAAGAACTGCATTGGTTGCAAAAATTCAAAAAGGTATTTAAGTATTTCTTAAATTTCTAAATTTCTTGGGCGGGGGGGGGGGGGGGGGGGGGACCCAGGCAGTGCTGGGGCAGAGGACGCCGGTGGGGTGCAGGCTGAGGGCTAGCATGAGTGAGCCTTCCCGTCTCATAGTTGTCCTGGACTTCCAAGAGGACACAAATCATACAGGCTGTTATTTCTTTCTGCAACAAGTCCTTCCTGAGTGGCCTTGCAGGAGCAACCCTCCCTGAGCTGACAAGAAAACAGCTGAGATCACTGCAAGAAAAGTAAAGGCACCTTAGGGACCATGAGGCTCTGTCTGAAGCCTTCATCCTAGAGGTGAGGAAGCGGAGACCCAAGAAGTGAATGGCTCATCCAATGTCACATGCAGCTGGTTAGCGGCCAAGCCAGGAGAATGAAACAGATCTCCTCCTCCTCCTCCTCCAACTGCTGGTGACTTTCCTCCAGGGCCAAGGCTGTGTGGGTACCCTGGACCCCAGGCCTCACCCCCACATCCAGGGAATGATGTGCTGCTCCTGGGCACCCACCTATCCACCCAGTGCCAAGGCTGTGGGGGGAAGGAGCCAGGCTGGAGGTGGGGCCACCCCTTCGGACCTCACCAGCCTGGGGGTGGCTTCTGAATGCAGCAGCCCCTCAGGCTTGTGGTCCCCCTACCCCTGCCCACTTCCTGTCTTCTCTTCCTTCAGGTCTCAGAGAAGCCTCCCCTAACGTCTCCTGCTGGCCCCTCCTTAAGAGCATGAGAACATTTTCCTCTCCCGTCTCTTCCCCTAGAGTGGAAAGCTCCACCGTAGCGGGAACCATGGCTTTCTTTTGTGTATCCTCAGCTTTAGCCCAGGGCAGCACTGAACAAATCCTTAAATAATTTTTTTGAACAGAAAAAATGTCTACGTTTTTTTACTGAGAATTTCTTGTATTCACTCTTTTTCTTTGTTGGACTTGGCATGTGCTTTCCCCTTGGCCTGTGATGCCTTTTCCTGCATGTTTTCCTTGCTACACCCACTCAGTTTTCAAAAGCCAGCTCGGCGGCATCTGTCTCTAAGAAATCGTTCCTGAATGCTCAGTAGGTAGCATCCCAGGCAGAGGGGAGTTTCTCTGTCCGGCTCCAGAACAAGGAGCCTTTGCTTTGGCAGGGCTCCCCCGAGGACCCTCTCCTGCATGGGAGCTCTCCCAAGAAGTGGAGAACAACCCAGAATGGCAAGCAGAGTTCAAGTCACAGAAGCAGGGGCTCCCAGCCTGGCAGACCCGCTGGGGGAGGGGACGAGCTGGGGGGCAAGCTGGTTTATCGATGAAGCTGAAAGCGCCCTGGGGAAATCAGGGTGAAAGGCAGCAGCCCTGTTAAGGGGGAGGCCCACCCTTGTTTATCAATCAGAGCCACGGAGACAGCGCAAGAAAGGGTTGGCTGTGCGGAGGAGGCCCACACCCACTATAGAGGCCCTGGTGGGCCCTAAGAAGGTCCTGTGAAGCAGGCTTGCTGAGGGAAATCCTCTGCACTTGACACTGTGCCAGGTACCAGGCAGTAGAGGAGCAAGGCAGGTGGTCTTGGTCCCGTGGGCACTGGCCCTGGGACCTCTTTCACCTTCTTGCAGGCCGGGGTCACACTGCCCGGTGTGCTGGCCCGTCAGCCTCCCAGCCAGGACCCGGTGGGGCTCAGGGAGAGGACCGGAGCCAGCTTAGGAGAATGGAGGGGGCAGACGGATGAGTAGAGCCAGGACACAGAGAGGGAGGCTGCGGGGAGGCTCCAGGCTGGAAGCTACCCGGCTAACACAGGGCTGACACGTGCAGGGAAGGGGGTGTCGACCCCTGCCTGTGCCCCCATCCCAGCTGCCCCAGCAGAGGGAGCACGCTCGGCACCCCGCCTGCTTCACCCAGTGCCAAGGCCATCTGAGCAGAGTGAAGATGTCAGAGAAAAACCCCAAATCGGATTGAGGCTCCTGTTCCCCCTTAATGAGGTTCATTATCAGCTGTTCTGATCCTTGTAAAACCTGGCAGGCCGGATTAGGGACAGGCTCTCTAATCTGGCTGACTCCTCCCTGCCGAGCAGCCAAGGCAGGCCGCTCCCACAAACAAGCCCTCTCCTTCCTTGGGAGAGAGCCGGGGATGCAGGAGGCCAGGCCAGGCAGGTGCGAGGAAGGTGCCTGGAGCAAAACTGGAACACGAGTCAGTGCTCCAGGGAGGCTGGGGGAACAGGAGGCAGGATTAGAACTCCACCAAGGCCTGTCTCCAGTGCATGTGGAGACAGAAGGGGCTTGGGAACGGAGAGCTCCGTGGGCAGTACAGGAGGGTCCATCCCGGAGACAGGGGCTGTGCTGGGGCACCTCCTCCCCTGCAGGGTGGTAGCTATGTGAGCCAGGGGCCAGTCACTTCTGGCTGGATCCCCACTGAGGCTGGATTCTGCGTATTCTGTCCAGACCTGGACACTAGGTCTCCAAACAGCAAGTTAAAGAACACACCAACGCTTTGCCTTAACAAAAATAATTTATTCCACAACCCTCCCAAGCAGTGGGGTAGAGTGGGAATCGAGCATGTGTACAGAGTCACCCTCCCCTCTGACCCTTTTAACCTCTGCACGATGGAAGGTGGGCCCTTGAGAGAGAGGACACTTCCTCACTGCAACACCCTCCACATTCAAACATTAGCGTCTATTTTGAAGGCCAAAATCAAAAGACAAAAGACCCAGCTCTAGGAGGGGTAGAGTGCACTGGGGAGGAGACAAAGCACATTGGAAGCAACCATCTTTTCCCTGTGGCTTCACTCTACCCTCCAGCTAAGCCCAGAGCCAAGGCACTAAAGACACCAGCACCCTCCTTAAATCCCACACCAGCCCTTATCAGGTCCCGCCAAGCCAGCTGCTCACCACCCAGCCCCATGGCCATCACCCATCCAAGTCCACACCAGCTCTGGCCTGCACCCCTCCTGAAGCAGAGGTGTGGCGGAAGGAGCCAGAAGCTCTCCTCCCTCCAACACGCACCCAAGCCTCACCTGGGGGACCAGCAGGACATTCAGAAGCTTCCAGACCCACC